AGCGTTTAGTGCGGAGCACATCTCTCCCATCACCCTCCCCCTCGGGACGCCGGACTGGCGGTCGTCGGCGCCACGACCACCAGCCCTCTCGGTCGGCAGACTGTCCGAAGCCCGCCTAGATGGCGCCGGTTAGAGTGGGTTACCCTACGGAATACCCCGCTGGGCCAGAACCAGCGTGGGTCGAGGATAGCCGGCCTTCCATCACCCGGATGCTCTTGCGTAAAACGCGTGCAGAGCAGCTTGCACGTCGTCTTCTTAGGCCCCCCTCGCCGGTCCCCAGACCGACATGTGAGGGGGACCCGAAACACTTAGAGGGCCAGGGCTTGGGCGAGATCCGCCTCCCTGGCCCCCGCTCGATGGCGGCGGGATTGTGCGTCTCTCACGCGCCCCGCCGCCTCCTTCTGCGAGATGGTGCACTCGCAGAAGTCGAGCATCGCCTTCCACGACTCGTCGTCACCGAGCATCGATGCCACAACACTCGGCAACGACAAGTCGGTTCCTATTTTTGCGACGAGGACACGGCGCCACCCCTCCCATGCGAATACCAGCCCTAGCAAGAATTGCTTCGCAGAATTCGGCGACAAACTCAGTCGGCTGGGTTTATTTGTTATACCACAAATATAATGATGCCCTTATAGAAATATACAAGATAGTCTTCTTCTTGCCCTTATCCCACTACGTGGGGTTGGCGCGGCATATCCTATTTTTCCATTCAGGTCTATTATCAAGTCATCTCTGCATTAGCACCCTTCTATCGCATGTCCTCTATCACATAGTTCATCCAAGTCTTTTAGGACGCCCCTTCTTTAGACAGGGTAATAATAGAAAGTAAATTCTCATCGCAAAGAATCTATGTATACTATGCAATCTATGTGTACGAAGGTCTAAGATCACAACTCGTCAACCTCTGTTAAACACATGATCTTTCGAGTCACTAGCAATACTACCAATACCTACATCAAACCACATGTTAGCTGTCATTGAATACGTATGAATTTTTTTCAATCGAGTAAAATGCCGTGAGACCGTCATTGAAGAATTTTCCACATCGGATTCAAGTGTAACAATAGTCAAGAAATAAGGAAATACTTCAAGCAAGTGTGTTAACGATAAAATTTGTATTTAAAACTAATTTCACGGCTTCAATGTTTTGTTCGCGCGACTACTTATTTGAATAACAATCATATTTTTGTAAGACCGTAGTTTTAACGTAAATTTAAGGCTATATTGTTATGTGACGCGGTACCGAGATTTAATTTAATTTTGTAAAATGCTTGTTTTGTATTTAGGTAGGTACGTCAGGAATCGATTTTGTTTACTTACATATTATATTATATAATTATAATTTGCGTAATTACTGGTGGTAGGACCTCTTGTGAGTCCGCGCGGGTGGGTACCACCACCCTGCCTATTTCTGCCGTGAAGCAGTAATGCGTTTCGGTTGGAAGGGTGGGGCAGCCGTCGTAACTATACTTGAGACCTTAGAACTTGTATCTCAAGGTGGGTGGCGCATTTACGTTGTGGATGTCTATGGGCTCCAGTAACCACTTAACACCAGGTGGGCTGTGAGCTCGTCCACCCATCTAAGCAATAAAAAATAAAATAAAATGCATGAACGATATCACGTCCCACCCGATGTTAAGTAGTTAATCCGGTCCTGTACGAACTCCGGCCTATAGACATGCAGAAATATGCAAAAGAGGCTATTATTATCTTACTCAGATGGTTCCTACTCGTGCCGACTCACAAAATACCCTACCACATGTAATTACGCAAATTACTATTTTTGTGTGCTGATTTTGATTACAAGGTGTTATTTCTTCGTCTTAGAAGGCGTTCGTGAAAGTGTGTCAAATACATAATGTATCGTGTATGTATACTATACCATGAGTGACGAGCGATTTTTAAGATTTTGTAGCTAATAAATGGTCTTATCTAAAATACTATTATCGTATGATGGGAGTGTGTCGGGAATTCAATGTCAAAACTAATTTTAAATAGGTTTTATTTTCGTTACGAAATTTCTTGATTCGATCGCCGCGCTCTAAGCCCGCGATAAAAGCTATGCAATAGCTTAATAAATATTAAACATTATTTTATATATATCATATTATATAATCAAACAATTTCTCGGAGCACAGTCGGGAAATACACAATATAAACCGCAGAAGGTCTCTACGTAAAACCAGAAGTACATTTTCATTTTCAACAATACCTTATGCTATTATTAATACCTACGTACCTACCACACACTTACAATTTGGTCAAAGTCAAATCATGTCTCTTTGTAATATGTAAATATCAATGTCCTCACACCAACAATAGCAATCAGTCACGATATGAACTTCACAAAGCAAGTAACCATTTACGCTAGAGCCTTTCGTATTTAATCCGTTTTTATTTATTTAAAATGAATGTATTACATTATTCTGTAATTGTTGATGTCAACTTAAACTGGCCTAGGTTTGACACCTGTACAAATTCATGTGTTACATGATTTATTATTTTTTATAAATACGTTTATTTCGTTATGAATAAACTTATAGTTGTTATATGTTACCATACGTTAAAGAGGGAATTTAGGGTGACCAAACAATTGGGTATTTGTTTCATTTTGTTTTGTTTTTCAAAACGCAGTGAATGGGAGAATGGCAATTAACTTTTTTTAATTAATACCCAGTAACACGGTAAGGCCTTAATTAAATGAGGTTCTTCCGTTTACTTTGTCCACTGAAACACATTTTTAGCTAAGATCCAACCCGGTAACAAAATGAAAATTCCTTGAACAATCTATTTTGTCATAGGGCCTTCGAATATCTAAATCAGTTTTAAATAGGGGGTACATTATTAGAATTATGTTGCCAATAATATCAATGCGGGTGACATTTAAGGCTCTAATAATATGCCAATTCTCAGTGTGTCCCGCCCTTAGTCTGAATTGAAATCGATAAAACTAGTTTAAATACGATGACGTTTGATGCCAATATTAATTATGTAACTCAGTAATAATCTATATATATAAAA